TTCAGCAGCACAAGTGCTGTGTCCTGCTGAGGTGGCTATGTTTCTCCTGGTACCGCACCAGCATGGAGGCCACCAGCTCCTGCCTTTGCCATAGGTTCCAGCACCTGGCAGATGTCTCCCTCCAGTTCTTACACTGCAACAGAACACAGGGGTATGCTTGTCTTCTAACAGGCAGCTACAACTGCTCTCTCCAACAGCAAGCAGGGCATTTCAAAATTGATGTTTTGGATTTACACGCAGGAACGACACATCACACGTGGCGTGGAATTGCTGTTTTGGGTCGACCTCCACAGGGCAAGTTCAGTCCACAGAAACGACGAATTGACTTAGGAATCTCTGTTTATCAGTCCACATAAATATATAACCTATTTAGCATCACCACGAGCTCCTCTAATCCTTAAAGCTACTAACAACTGACAAGTAATAAGAAGTGACAGTACAGTTCTATCTATACAAGGTATTAGTAGTCACTAACAGTAACTTCAATATATGCAATGCCTATGTAACTCCAGAAAATTGAGTCACAGCGAGGCTACAACTCCAGCTGTTTTTTGTGACTGGTCCTCATGATAAGAACTGGTACACAATCCTGCAAATAGTCAAAAACATCCTTGTACTTCAAAGGTCCAGCATTTTTAATATCCTCATGTCCCAAGTCCCAACACCTAGTGCCTACCTGCTCTTGATACTATATCGTGCACACTAGTCCTGTAATGATGAGACCTTCTTCTCTTCCATCTCAACTAAGATTGACTTTCAGTTACCATAGATGGTCCAACATAGAAAACCATTGCTGTCTAGGAAATAGTTTAAATACTCCCGTGAATTAAATACACTACATTTTCATATTTTTGAAATCAAACATGAAGATAGAGAGGAGTTCAGTGCAGGAAAATGAAATGCAAGGTTTGAGTTCCTGGAAACTAGAGCACAGCCAAATCCTAACGAAGAACCAGTTTAAGGGTAATGCTTCATCAAAGAGTTAGAGTTGTACTACAGTGACTCATCACTGACCCTGCAGGCTGAAACTGTCAGTGGTACAGCAATGAACATTATTAGCAAAGGGATTACCACTGTGGTTCAGTCAGGTGGTAAGTATTAATATCACTAATATAACAATGATAAAACAGTTATCAGGCTTCCAAAACTGTCCTGGGGATGCAAACAATGGCATCCATACAGTTACTATATGTCCCTATTTCTGAAATAATCATGATTTTGCAAATTGCAAAGGGAACTGTCTTCCTATGACGCAATGCTTGGCCCAGAGTGGCAGAAAATTCATGAATATGGGATGTCTGTAGCTACTGTTAATTTTGGAGCCCTAGCCTATCCTTTAAAATACTAGGTCCTGAAATCCTACGTCAACATTACAGCACTTGGCAAAAAAGGTCTGAGCAGCAGGATGGTGGTAGGGAAGATGGCACTGCACAAAATAGCTTTTCTAATACTATCCACATATCTGGTTGTATAAGCAGAATTCCTTGGACTCTTCCACTCAGAGACTGCATCAGCCACCACAGGCATGATCTGTGCCTTGAATTGTCCAGTGGATGCAGCTACAATAGCAGGAAAAATAGGTACAGAAGTAGGTTGGATTTCCTCCATGTCATGGGTGGCCTCGCCTTTTGCCTCCTGTTCATTTAGTCCCTTCTTGTTCCAGCAGTCTGCTCTGCTGCTGATTCATTCAGTCCCCATGCA